ATAAGAAAACAGACTCAGAAAGATGAAATGACTGGCTCAAGGTTACACAGCTAGTAAATATCCGAGATGGATATGAAACTAAGTCATCCTGACTCCAAGTTCAGGACACTATTGACTAAACTAAATAGCACGCTGTCTCTCTGTGAACATGGGGATTCCACCTTTATTTTTGTTTTAGTAATTACAAATACTTTTCAATACCAATACAATGATTTTCATTTAAATGAATAAATTTAAACGTGTAAATTTTCCTAACTTTTCAATAATTTTCTAAATTTCCAACAGTGTGATTTATCCATTTATTCTCATTCACTTTTCTTCTTGCGTGATCCTAAAGTATATTCTTATTTCATTAAGGTCTTTTCATAAACTTTTCCTTATTTCTTATATTCTTATACTTGCTAATCTTAACTGCATCATAGTGTTTTATTACCCCAAAATACCACACTTCAATCATTCCTCTCATCGCTGGACATTTAGTTTGCTTCTACTTGTTTTGTTATTGCAAATGATGCTGCAACAAAAATTTTATAGCTATCCTTTCGATACATCTTCAGATTACATTCCCAATAATGAAGTTATCAGGTCTCCTTGTCTCATTCATTTTCATATTCCCAGTGCCTAGCAGAGTACCTTGCACATAGTGTACATGGTAAATATTTGCTGAATGTAGTATCATTTTCACTTCAGAAACCAACAAGTTGCCTGTATCTATTGCAGTACCAGGACTAAATGAAGTCTTATCTGACTCTTTGTGACCCCATTTGGGATTTCCTTGACAAAAATACTGGAGTGGTTTACCACTTCCTTCTGCAGCTTGTTTTACAGATGAGGAAAGTGAGGCAAACAGGGTTAAGTGACTTGCCCAAGGTCACAGTCAGTAAGTGTCCAAGGCCAGATATAAACTCAGGTCTTCCTGACTAGAGGCCCAGCACTCTACCTACTCTGCCCCTTAGTTGCCTGAATGAAAGCTAGGCCACATTAACAGGGAAAAGGAGCAATCACTAATCTGAAATTGACAAACAAACTTACATATAAGTAAAATAATCCAACAAAGAAAAGTCTTGAGTTTGAGGAAATTAACTTCTCAAAATGTAAACCTCTCAGGCAAGTCAAGATACCCGACAAAAATTGAGAAGAAATTAAATTGTTTTTTCTTTTTCTTTTTTTTTTTTAATTTTTGGAGACTAGGGATTAAGTGACTTGCCCACAGTCACACAGCTAGCCAGTAAGTGTGTGAGGCTGGGTTTGAACTCAGGTCTTCCTGGCTCCAGGGCTGGTGCTTTATCCACCATGCCAACTATCTGCCCCCTAAAATGTTTATTTCAAAGCAACTTCTGTGAGTGAACCTAATAGTCACTTCCCACTAGAGAAAACAAGTAATAGAAATGACTCTCCTTGTGTATAAAAGATGGATTAAAATGACAGCCACTGATCTTCATTTCTTGTGTTTGAAATGAGAATCATCAGTGTCTGCACCAACAGTCTCAGAGTCATTGTGAAGATACTGCTTTGTAAAACTGAATTTTAACGTATATACATCGATTTATTTCCTGATAGCCAGCCATACCTTAAAACGCATTCTCTGTAACATCACTGGAAACCGAACAGCCTACCAATTTGTTAAAAGCAATCCAACTACACACACAACCTTATATCTTATTACAGCCATCTTTCACTCCATTACCTTAAGCACTTACAGATGACTAAACTCTCATGACAGCAAAACCAGATGACAACACAAAGTTCACTGGGACTTCCATGCTCATCAGCTGGAACTGGTCTCCCATACCTCCTGAAACCAACCACCAGTAAACAAACACAAGACACACCCAGAAACTCTCACCGAAACATTTACTTCATATACTCACTAGCTGCTGTTCACAGGAGCTGGTCCTACTGCACTTACAGGTGGCCTTGCCTAGAGCTAAAGGTCGAAAGAAAACACTCCCTGGTAGCCTTATACGAGTTTCTCTATAAAACATGATAACTTTCATAGCAAATGCAAGAATCAAAACGTGGGGGAAAAAAACCATTTTCAAGTGCTGAGCAGAGGTATGAAACCACAGTGCTCTAAGAAGAATGCTGTAATAAAAGATACACAATTTTTTTTTAAAAGGGGGGGGTAAGGGCCGCAGGGGAGAGAGTAAGGGAAAGGCCACACATAGGCCTTAGGAAGACTCCTCATTCATGTTGTACCACAAACTGGCAAAGTCTCCACTTAGGATTCAGTGCCCCTTTAGGAAAAAAAAATCTAAAGAATCGAACCTTTTTCGAGCTAGATATTTACTTAAGCCCAACTCTCTCATTAAGTAAAGGAGGAAATGAGTCCCAGAGAGGTAAAGTAACTTCTTCAAGGTCATAAAAAGAGTTACTAGCAGGGCTGGACAAGATCTTGAATCTCTTGACTTTCAAAACTTCCTTCCATGCCACCTTCCTGCGTTCAGTGTTTGGGACAGTCCTCTGCTACTCTGCCTTTCATCATCACTCTTCCAACTCTCGGCACTCTCCAAGATGCCCAGTTTTCTCACTGTGCTAAAGTTCCACCAAGGTCTATCCTCTTTGGGAGTATCTCATCCTTCAAACTTTCCTTCCCCTCTTCGTACCCCTACCAAAACTGACCTATCCTGAATACCTGAAGATCTTAGTCTTAACCAGTTATGAGAAAAACACTTCCACATACTAATCTCATGACATCTATATTTTTAATAATGAAAGTGTCTGAATTTATTACTTTTTATGAAAAGACCCGACCTGAATTCATCTTTGTACTATTAATCATCTAACAGACTTTTACCATATTAAAACAAAGGAACAGACAGAGGTTCAAGGAAGATGTGATGGCTCTGAGTATGTTTAAGAAGTTGCTGTGCTAAAACAGACAAGGAAAGGCTTTTACAGTGGAAGAAAAACAGGGGGAAGGTGAGAGGGAAGGAATGAATCTTATTCTCATTGGATTTGGCTTAAGGAGAGAATAACAAACATACTCAAATTAGGTATGGAAATCTATCTTACCCTACAGAAAATAGGGGGGGAAGGGGACAAGAGAGCAGGAGGATGATAGAGGGGAGGACAGACTGAGGGAGGGGACAATCAGAAGCAAGCACTTCTAAGGAGGGACAGGGTCAAAAGAGAGAATGGAATAAATGGGGGGTGGGATAGGATGAAGGGAAATATACTTAGTTTTTCACAACATGACTACTATGGAAGTGTTTTGCATGACTACACATGAATAACCCGTATTGAGTTGCTTGCCTTCTCAATGAGGGTGGGTAGCCTGAAGGAAGGCAGAAAATTTGGAACCCAAAATTTTAAAAACAAAAGTTAAAAAAAAATTTTGTTTTCACATGCAACTGGGAAATAAAATATACATGAAATGGGGTATAGTAATCTATCCTGCTCTACAGGAAAATTGAAGGGGAAGGGGATAAGAGAACGGAGGGAGAGATAGAAGGGAGGGCAGATTAGGGGTATTCAGAATGCATGCCATTTTGGGGTGGGGGGAGGGATAAGATGGGGAGAAAATTCGGAACTCAAAATCTTGTGGAAGTGAACGTTGAAAACTAAAAATAAATAAATCAATTAAAAATAAAAAAAGAAGTTGCTGTGCCAGGGCAGCTAGGTGGCCCAGTTGATAGAGCTCTGGCCTTGGAGTCAGGAGGACCTGAGTTCAAATCCAGCCTCAGACACTTGACACTCACTAGCTGTGTGACCCTGAGTAAGTCACTTAACCTCAACTGCGTCACCAAAAATTAAAAAATAAAAAAAAGAAGTTGCTGTGCCCCACAGGCTTGAATTCTGTTTCCCAATAAAGTCTGTGACAGTCTCTTACGTCTCTGTCAAAACTATAATCCGGTGCTAGTTCTTCATGTAAAACTGATGACAATAAGACTGTGAGTGCATTTGTGTCCTCATCTCCAAAATATGACAAAGCAATCGGGACATTTTTCACTATAAATTCCATGATGTTTCACAAACCAAGCAGACCAGCTGCCAATCTGTAGAGCCATCGGTCTCTTAAAACAATCCACTAACTTTTTAATTACACCTCCTTCTTTTAGGATTACAGTCTTCAGGGGCAGCTAGGTGGCGCAGTGGATAGAGCACTGGCCCTGAAGTCAGGAGGACCTGACTTCAAATCCGGCCTCAGACCAAACACTTGACACTTACTAGCTGTGTGACCCTGGGCAAGTCACTTAACCCCAACTACCTAAAAGCAAAAAAAAAAAAAAAACGATTACAGGCTTCTTTGTAGACAATGAGGTTTAGGAAAACTCCACAGGCAGAAAAGCAAACATCTTGATACTTAGCATGGAGCAATACAATCATAAATTTGAAGTCCCAAGAAATACTGTCTAAAGGTAAAATTTCAGGCATCAAAAGGTATGGGGGTTGGGAGGAAAGGAACACTGTCAACACATATACCACAAGGTAGCTACAAATGGTAAGACTAGCATTGCTGTCCTTCCCTAGAGGAAAATAATGAAGCCCTACCCTCAAAACTCATCCTCCCCAACGCCCCCTTCCAAAATCACAACCAAATGCATGCAGGAACTACGTGCACTACAAATGCACTATAGCACTACTTTTTACACTGTTGTGGTTTGGTGTGAAATATGCAAAATTAAATGTTTTATAAGTAGGCAAACATTTTTGTAAATAAAAGGGGAAAGAGAAAAATGAAGTTTTCCAGACTATGTCCAGATAAATTTTCTGGATAAATATTTTTGTTTCATTTGAAAGCATTTTTCTAATCACTTTATAAATCTATTCCTTTATAAAAGGAAAATGAGAATCTGGATTTTCATATCATAATGAGGCAGTTGTCACTGATACCAACCATTTCCTTTTCAAATGATAAAAATTAATTTATGTTTGCAAGATAAACTGATCTCAATTTTGAGAACAAAGGAAAATAAAGCCACACTATGGGTCAAATAGAATACCAAAGTCAATAGGGTCATCAGAATAAAAACACGTTAATTTTCTTTTACACTCACCCACTCCTCTACATTAGGAGGCTGCTCTTCATAGACACTTTTCTTGTCCCATAGAATGTTGGATTTGTCGTATCTGTCCATCTTATTTCGGGTTCTCACAGCAAAGAATATTATTAAAGCAAAAGCTATAATAACCAAAAACCCCAGCACAATAGCAATGGCCTAAAAAGGGTTAAAAGAAAATCAAACATTAACTGTTTGGTTGTTTGGGAGATTTAAAATAAGCTATTTACTTCCCAAAATAAAGAAATTCACCTCACTTTTCAACAGACATGGAGAATACAGCTTAGATTTAAGCAACTGGTTAAGGGTGTTAGGTTCCCAGCTCAAAACTCAGCATCACAAAAAGGTAGCCTCTTACTGGGTAGAGCACTAGTTCACTCCACCGTCATGGCCCCACTGTTTCCACTAAATATGTTTTTCAGTGACATGGGCAGGTAGGTGGCACAGTGGATAGAGTGCCAGACCTGGAGTCAAGAAGTCTCAACTTCATGAGTTCAAATCTGGCCCCAGGCATTTACTAGCTGTGTGACCCTGAGCAAGTCACTTAAATCTGCTTGCCTCAGTTCCCTCATCTGGAAAATGAGCTGGAGAAGGAAATGGCAAACCACTCCAGTATCTTTGCCAAGAAAACCCCAAATGCAGTCACAAAGAGTTGGACAAGAATGAAAAATGAGTGAATGAAGAGGGTGGCTATAGTCAGCCTTTCTATAATATGTCTGATTTGTATTAAGGTCAAAGATTTAGAGATGGAAGGGAACTCAGAAGTTATCTAATTGAATAACCTCTTTTTGCAATTAAGAAAACTGAAGACTAGAGAGGCTAAATAACTTGCCCAAGGTCACAGAGGTTGTTAAGCATCAGAACCAGGATTCAAAGAGAGTCAGAGTTGCATTGGGGAGAGAGAACTGGCCAAAAGCCACGAAAACTTAGGTTCAAGTCCCATCTATGACACACACTGGCTGTGTCACCCTGGACATGTTATTTAAATAGTCAGTACTCTAGGCAACTCTCTAGACCTTAAGTTACAGAAAGGGTCTGTTGATCCGCACTGGAAGAGTTTTCCTGGTCTGAGAATTCATCTCATCAGTGAAATCAAAGGTCCAGACCCTATCCTTTTCTATTTTACCATATATCTGTCAAACAGAGAGCGATACACCTAAGTGGAGGGCTCAAGCATGAGAACTCCTAGGCAGAAGGAAGCGGTATTGAGATGTTTCTAGGACATCAGCTGCTCTGCTATAGCAGAGCTATTCTTGTCTCATAAGCAGAAATAAAATCTATATTGCACATTCTGTTTTTGAAAACAACAGGTTGATTCTATACAAAAATTTACATATTCATAGTCCCTTCCTTGCACTTCTCCCCTTCCTCAAAATCCCAAATAATAAAAGAGTGAATTATTTAGGTGAAAGGAAAGGTGGGATATTTCTAATTGGAAAAAAAAATAGAAACACTACATATCACTCCAAAAACATGCATGTTAATTGTGTTAGCTAATAATTAATGACTCATGCAGGAAAAAAAAACACCATACAGTCATCTGTACTCATACCTCTTGGGGATCTACAACACAGAAGTGATAAAGATATTGATCCACATAGAGTCCAGTTGCCAGAGGTGTATAATATTGGTTGCAGAGAGCATATATCTGAGTTGAGTATATCGATCCAGAAGCTTGTGCTGTTGGATTGACTCCCATGATGTAGACAATGGTGGCAATGAATACCATGATGCCTAGGATAGCGCTTACGATGATCACCACTAAGAAATATGTTCTTGATCTGGATATTCCCGATCTGATAACACTGGTCACAAATATCGCCAATGAAGCAATAAAACAAAATGCCGCCATGGCCAGTAAGAAGCCTTTTGCAGCCCTTGGGTCAGTATAAACTCCTCCATAGCCATAGGTATAGCTTCCTCCATAAGGGTAGTAGCTGCCTAGAGCAGTTCCCAGATAGGTGCTTCCATAGCCCCTGTCCCAGGCAAGCGTGGAAGCCACACAGGCAAAGATGCCAATACACATCACAATAATGATCACTGACAAAATCCTAATCACCCCTGGAGGGGAAGTCCACTTGTAGAAATGAAGTAGTTCATCCTCTGGATAATAAGAGTAGGCTGGCTGAGAAAGCATTGGTCGAACATGCATCTCTCCATGGTATAAATCATTGCTTGGTGCATAATGAGATGGTTTGCTGAAATATCATTTGAAAAAAAAATGTTTTTTTAGCTAAAATATTTATGGCAAAATCCCAGTTAAATCATACAGGACAAAAAAAGCTATCAAAGGCAGATTTTTTATCGTGCTCCTGAAGAACACAAAACCTGCCCAGAAAGAGCTTGCAGTATACAAAATATCAAAAGAATAAAAAATATTTCTAGTGTTCAGAAATAAATGGGCATTTTTATACCTGTATAACCCAGTTGATTAACTAGCTCATGGTCCTATGGAGGCCTATCTATTATCATAACTCAAATTTTTATACCATTTCGTCTTCATAAATCAGTCTGTATAGTTAATTATGTTATTTGGTCCTCCCAATAGCCCTATCTGTGAAGTAGGTCATGCATTAGAAGTTCCATATTACCCCAAAGAGATTACCCTAAAGAAAGAAGAAAAGGACTTCTTTCATACAAAAGAAATACAAAAATATATACAAAAGATGTACAAAAATATTTTTTGCAACTCTTTTTGTTGTGGCAAAGAACTGAGAACTAAGCGGGTATCAATCAATGGAGGAATGGCTAAGCAAATTATGGTATACAAATGTGGTGGAATACTATTATCTTTTAAAGAAATGATTAAGGGAATGGTTTTAGAGAAACCTGGGAAGACTTGTGGGAAGTGATTCAGAATGAAATGAACAGAACCAGTAGAACAATTTATAGCAACATTATAAAGCCAAATAACCTTGAAAGATTTAAGAACTGATCAGTGCAATTAGCAACCATGAGGATAACCCATGAGGTAACACAATATGCATCTCCTGAAAGAGAGGTGACAGATTTGGGGTGTAGACTGACACATATAATTTTAGATGTGACCAGTGAGGAAATCTGTTTTACTTGACTATGATAAAAGGGGTTTGTTTAAAAAAAAAGTTTATTTTTCTTTTTCCAATGAAAAAGGAAGAGAGGAAATGGATTTTCATTAATTAAAATTTTTTTTCAAACTTCCATTTTTAAAATAAGGAAACTAAGGCTCACTTACTAAGGTCCAGAGCTATTAAATGGCAAAGCTAGGATTAGAACTTAAGTCTCAAGACTAGTCCAGAACCCATTACTATAGTCTCTCAGGTTTAATTTTCACACAAACCAGTGAGTTTAAGCAGCCTATCTAAAGTCTGGACTTTTAAGTCTACAGCTATCCCTATCACAAACAAGTGCCAATAGTTAAATAATTAAAGAGAACCAGGAGAAAAATATGTAGGGGAAGTCACCTAACATCTCTGGGCCTCAGTTTCTTCATCTGTAAAATGAGAGTTGGTCTAGATGATCTGAGATGCCTCTTCCAACTTTAAACCTACGATGCTATGATCTTTTTATCAATCAACCCAAAAGAAAAACAAAACTAATAGAAACAAGGAAATCTTAGAAAATTCCACGTGTTAAACAGTCAGCACAAATCACTAACTATATATTTTCTGAAATAATTTAGGGCATTATCAGTCCTGTTATTGCTCCAGTTTCCATTATGAAAACAGTATAGTAATCCAACCCCGTCCAATGAATAATGCCACAGTTAAAATCACAAATTTGTAATTACAAAAATGTAATTAAGGAAATTTGTATCAACCTTTAAATAGAAAAGTTATTAAAGGTATTATATTGTACCAACTGCCAAAAATCTAAGTGCAAGAGCCATACTCTGTTGACCAGCTATTGTTAATTACATAAACAACTACGTATCCTCACTACCTATGGAGAGCTAAATTATTAAGAAAAATGTCAGAAGGATATTTACAATTCATCTGGTCTGTATGGAGGAGGACTCTCAAATGGTCTGGATGACATTGTTGATATCAGCGGTCTAGGAAATTTCAAAATGAAGAATTCTTCTTAGCCTCCTCCAAAATAAGACTAACAACCTGGGAAGAAAAATAAAGAACGAAAGAAGTAAATAAATAAACAACTTTTAAGCAACTGTATTAAATTCATTGGTTCATCCTATTGTTAATGCCAGAAGCTTAATTAAGAGCCAAGTAACCAACTATTCTAGGTCTAAGTTTCTTGAAAATATAATTTATCATTTCCTTTCCTCAACTAATATTAAAGATTCAAATGGCAAATTCTAAGTGAACTGTTTTACTTCTTGACTTGTTAATGATTTCACACTAATACTAATAATAAAAGCTGCACACATTTATACCATATTTTAAAGTACTTTCCCCACAACAACCCTGTATTATTCTTCTTCTCCATTTTGCCATAGATTGGGACAGGGGTGGGACCTTCAATCCAACAACAAACATTAAGTGACAATAAGCCAGGCACTGTGGAAACAAAAAATCCCAAGGTCTCTTACTCTCAAATAACTCACATTGTATTTAAAAATGTGAGCATTGTTTTATGTTCTGCTGTTAGTGAAAGAAAATGGAAGAAAAATGAGCAAGAAAATTCAATAAAACTTTGAAAACTTCCAACAGATAAAATGTAGTTTTATGCATGTTATTTTTCTGCAAAATCACTTCTTTTCAAAAATACATACTCCTTTAAAAATTGCTTAACTTAATCCTAAAATCTCTACAGCATACTCCACAGTGAGAGGAATTTTTTTCTAAGCAAATGAAATGGCCTGATTAAAAAAAAAAAAGAGCAACGAATCCTTTCTACAACAGCCCAGAAGAGTAGTCTCTTCTTGAAGAATTCTAAGTCTAGATAAGCAAGAATCTGAACCATAGACTAGTCAATGTTCAATAAACCCAACAACCCAAACCACTGAGTGGATGACTTAGATTCAGTAAGAACTGTTAGAAAAACCAGAAAGCATTAAGTAAATAATTAAATATTTGAACGGCATGATACAGACTCTAAAGATTCTGGGAAATCACAACAAGACCTGGTAAATGAAGTTTAGAGTCACTAGGGAAGGCTTAATGAAAGAAATAAAGCTGTGGCTCAGCCTAAAAAATTGGGGAAGATTTAGTGAGACCTCAGGGAGCGAAAATATTCCTGGAAGGAGAAACTGGAAGCATGATTTGTTTGTGGGGCAACGAGAGACTAACCTGAAAGTGGCAAGGCTGCATATTGGGAATATAGAGAGTAAAGCTGGATGGGGAGGGAGAGCCAAACAGTCAGGAAAAGGAAGTCAAATACGATGCAACAGGAAATAAAGAGACATGAATGCTATTTGAGCAAGGGAAGGGCATAAGGAAAGTAGTGATTAAGGAAGATCAGCCTGATATGAAAGCACCGATTCAGGGACAAGAGGCTGCTGCACTCAGGCTGAAGCGCTAAAAGGTCCAAGGTGCATGCAGAACAAAGTGCTAGCAATGGGAAGGGATAGCTACAAAAAACTCTTTGGGAAAAAAAAACGTAGGATTCTGTGCCTAGTTGGGCACAAAGGATGAAAAGTTTAAATCAAGATGACAATGAAGCTTTCAACAAGTGACTGGGAGAATAATAGTGTCATTGACAGAACCCAAGTAAACAGAAGGGGGGAAAAAATTGCTTGGTTGGAGGAAATGAGTTTAATTTTGGACATTCAACTTAAGGTGACAGCAAAGCATTCAAGTAGAAATGTCCAAAAGACAGATGAGTATATGAACTTAAGGTAGGAAGATTTGAGTAGCAATAGGGATAAGGGATAAACATGAAAATAAAGCTCTTCTATGGAAAAAGTGTAAAAAGAACAAACCTGGGGGACTAGAGAAAGAAGAGCCAATATAGGAGGCAGAAGAACAGGAAAGAGCCAATGTAGTTATAAGAATGAGAACTGGGGGCAGCTAAGTGGCGCATCAAATAGAGCTCCGGCCTCAGAGCCTACTTCAAGGATCTCAATGTCAGGTCACCAAAGACATGGAACTATCACTGGTCTCCAAATTTTCTGAATCATTCATCAGGAGCTAACTGCTGCTGCTATAGCTTATATCTAGAGCAAAAAGACTGGAGCCGAGAGAAATATGTTGATCTTTGCCTTATGAAGGTCTTTCAGTGCCTCAATTACTACCATTAAAAATAAAATCTTTGAAAAAAAATAAATAAAAATTAAAAAATAAATTAAAAAATAAATAAATAAAATCTTTGAAGTCAAGTTCCCAGTTAGGAACACCCACTTGCATAGAGAGGCCTTTGACAACCATATGGTCGACCACTTCATTACTGAGTCCAAGTGCCAGTGTGAAAACGAAATCAATGAGAACAAGAGGACACTGTACACTTGCAAAGTGTATCTCTTCCCCCCTTACCAAGGCCAATATTGAGACTGACTCCCTCTATGAAGGTATCTACTTCTATGCTTCTATCACCTGTGCCCATTTTCAGATACTGAATCCTTCAATGGCACACTGGAAAAAGCTGTTAAGGGATGCCAAGGCAGCTAAGTCACAGATCTATGACATCATGTTACTGGGTGGTTCCACGCACACTTCCAAGATTCAGAAACTTCTATACAACATCGTCAAGGGCAAAGAGCTACATGAGAATGTCCATTCTGATAAGGCTGTTGTTTACAGGGCAGCTGTCCAGGACTGGTTGTAGCTGGATGTAATTCTTCTCCTTGGTTTGGAAACTGCTAGCAGAAACAGAATACTACCATCCAAGGGTGTGCTGGTAAATGATTAACAACTAGCTCTTCATGGAAAAAAAAAAAGAACACGCTCACAACATATTTTTAAGTTTGATCTACATATTAACATTTCCTTGATGACTCTTAAGTCCAGGCAACGAACAAAAACAATGAGTCAAGCCCCAATCTGTAGCATTTACCGCTTTAATAACTGCAGTATGTCTGTGCAACCAATCCTAAGCAGTCATGAACTTTTACACTAACCTGGTGTGCTAATTCAGAGAGAGCAATGACAAAGGATCCTCCAACTCACTAGGTGAGTCTGAGCTCACAGGAATTTCCCTGCCCCTAAGGGTATTTCTCCGATGGAAATAATTTTGACATTCATGCAAATGGCATCCTCCATACATCTGCTAAGGGGGGCAGCTAGATGGAGCAGCGGATAGAGCACCGGCACTGGAGTCAGGAGGACCTGAGTTCAAATCCGGCCTCAGACACATAACACTTACTAGCCGTGTGACCCTGGGCAAGTCACTTAACTCCATTGCCTAGCCCAAAAAAAAAAGATCATATATCTGCTAAGGATGAGCATTATCATCGATGATAAAGATCACATGAGCAAAGAAGACAGTGAGCATATATGGTCAAGAAAGCTGAGAAATACAAGGGTGAAGATGAGAAGTAGTGAAACATGCCCGATAGCATAAAAAGAAAAACTCAGGGGTTTTTGGGTTTTGATCCTGGAGGTAATAAGGAGCCACTGGAGTTTTTTGAATAGGGAGTGGATTGCTTATGCTTTCAACATGAAGACTATGGTGGAGGGTGAGAAACTCCAAGGCATGACTAGTGATGAAGACAAAGAGAAGAACGGCGACAACTGTAATGAAATAATCAACTGGCTCAATAAGAACCTGAATGCTGAGAAGGAAGAATTTGAGCATCAGCAAGACAGAATTTGACAATGTCTGCAATCCTATCATAACAAAGCTATACTAGAGTTCAGAGAGCATGCCACGAGGAGGAGGCTGACTCTTCATGAGCCCATTTGGGGTTTTCTTGGCAAAGATATTGGAGTGGTTTGCCATTTCCTTCTCCAACTCATTTTCTAGATGAAGAAACTAAGGCAAACAGGGTTGCTCAGGGTCACACAGCTAGTGTCTAAGGCTGAATTTGAACTCAGGTCTTCCTAGCTCCAGATCTAGTTCTCTATGCACTATGGCACAATCTAGCTGCCCCTATCACTCAGGTTTGGAAGAGCAGTCTATATAGAGAGAGCTGCTCCACCTCCTGGATCCACCACTGAGGAAGCTGACTAAATGCACCAGAAGACAGAGCATTTCACACAGCTTTTTTAAAATGAAAAAACTCAAATCTGTACACAAGGCTTAGTAAAATGGCAGTTTAACATTTGAGCTACTGCGCAAATCTGGGTATTCTGAATGCCTGAATGTGTACAGATGGAGAGAAGTCAAGAATATTGTACTTTATCAGTATGGTAGACAAGTAGAGATGCTATTCTTGTCCTGAAGAATAAAAATCTAAAAAAAAGAAAGAAAACAGGTGGAGTTTAGAGATGTAATCTTGAACAAGGAGGCCAGTGTCACTGGATCAAATAGTACGCGGGAAGAGAGTAAAATGGAAGAAGCCTGAAGGGTAAGAAGGGGCCAGGTGGTGAAAGGATTTTAGAAGTGAAATGGAAGGTTTCAGGTTTTTTGCTTTGTTTGATTCTGGAAGTAACAGAGAACCACAGGAGTCTACTAAATAGGGAGGAAGATTAACATGGTCAGACCTGGGCTTTAGGAAGATCTCTTTGATAGCTGATCTAAAGAGATAAGAAAAAGTATCTGGCTGCCCTTTATGATTTCAAGTCATCTGGTCCAGATGAACTACATTCTCGGTTCTGAAACAACCGGCCTATGGAATAGCTGAATCACTGCCAGCGATATTTGAAAACTCAGAGAAAAGGAGAGGCACCACAGAGAAGCACAACTGTGATCCCAATTAAAACAAAACAAGAGAGGAAGAATGGAATCTCTAAACTAAAGGTTAATAATGAGTTTGATTTTAATTCCTGGGAAAATTGCACAACATATTAATAGAGAATTGATTAGTCACCATCTAGAAAAGGAAGCAATGTTCATTAAAGGCCTGTGTTGCTTTGTCCAGAACGGGCTAAACCAACATTTTTTGACACAGTTGCTAAACTGGTAGATCTGGGCATGCTTTTGATAGAATTTACCTACATTGCAGCATCTGACAAACCATGTCACACTATTCTTACAGAAAAATGGAGAGATACAGGCAAAACAGGAGTACAATTAGATGGAACAGGCTGAAGAGCTGGATTCAAGGAGTGGTAAATGAATGGTCTGATGTTACATCTCCAGTGGACTGTCAAGTATCTGCTCAGCTCTGTGATAGCTAATATTTTTATCAATGATTTGAAGGCAATTTGATAAATAAACTTACCAAATTTATAGATGATACAAAGCTAAGAGGGATAGCTAAAACCCTAGATGATGGAGTCAGGCTAGAATTTAAGAAGATATTTAACATAGTACAAAGTTATTTAAGGATTTATTTATTCAAATCTGTTTTGTTTGTTTATTTAAGGAAAAGGATTCCTGCTTGAAATGAGTACTTTTCCAACTGTTTTAACCTATGGGATCACTTTAGTTCTTCTGCCTTCCCTGATCATCCCCTTCCAGCTCAAAGCCTTGTTATTCTCAGCTTCTACTTCTCACTCATCCTACATAACCAATTGACTGCCCAATCTTGTTTCAACCTTCACACCTATAGTTTCCACACTCCTCCTAGTTCAAGCCCTCATCACCTCCCACCTAGACTACAGTAATTGCCTTGCCATTGCTATTCCTGCTTCCCATCTCTCTCCACTCCAATTCATTTTTCACTCAGTTGTCAAAATGACTTCCATAAAGTGTAGGTCCCTGGCACTCAGTAAACTCCAGTACCTCCCTACTACTTCTAGAATCAAATATAAAGTGCTTTATATTAAAGCTCTTCACTACTTAGCCCCTTCTCTAACTTTCCAAACTTCTTAGACTTCTGTCCCCTCCACATACTCTAACAATCCAGTCACAGTGGCTGACTAGCTGTTCAAGGAACAGAACACACCTATCTCCCATTTCAACCTTTGCACAGAATGTCTCCCAGGCCTGGAATGTTCTCCCTATTCACTTCTATCTCTTGGTTTTCCAGACTTAGTAAAACTGTCACCTTTTGCAGAAGACCTTTTCCTTTGCCCTTAGCAACTGGTGCCTTCCCCTACAAGATTGTCTTTTATACCATACTGATTTAACCTAACTATCTCTTACAAGTACGTAGTCATTTGCATTTGTCTCCCCCATTAGAATTGTGAGCTCCTAGAGAGGAGTGACTGTTTTTTCCCTTTGTATCCCCAGGTTCCTGACACACAGTAGGTGCTCAATAAATGCTTGTTGAGCAATCAGTGAGTGGATTCTGCCATAAACTGTCTTTAAGTGCTTAGGGTTTGGACTTGTTTATTTTTTGTTTTCTTTTGTCTAGTGTTTTTAAATGGTGATTCAAATCTGCGAAAATTACAGTGAAACACCATATACCACAGAGGTCTATGTATGCATATAAATCACTACTGATTATTGGCTACATCTCCAAATTGAAAAAAAAATACATGTGAATATGCTGAAATAATTAACACAGAGCATAAGTCAAGTTATTAACACTCAAGTTTTACACAAGCTACATTTAAGGCCTAAGTTTCTACTAATACAGATATTTCTATGTAGATTTCAGTTTAGACGAATCATCTCAGTAACATGCTTATGAGTATCTCAGATTTACAGATTTCTGGTAGAGCTCAATTTTGAGAGATTTAAAAGCCCCAAAGTGTTAGGCAAGAAGTCTTTCCTGATTCCTCCACTCCTAATGCAGATCCTCTGATACTAACACTCATTTCTATCTATCTATCTATCTATCTATCTATCTTGTAAGTACACTAGTTTGCATAGTCTTCATTAAAATGTGAGCTTCTAAGAGAGTAGGTACAGTGTCTCAATGGTTTTCTTTGTATCCCCAGAACTTTGCTCCGTGCTGAACACACAGTAAACAATAAATGCTTGAAGACTGTCTTAAGATAGGGGGTAACTTCTCCAATCACCTTAAAGCAGAAATATTTTAGTTTCCCAAGAATTTCGGTCATTATGCCTTAATGAGTGAGTGAGCCCACATTAGCAAAGAAAATTTCTTTTCTGTCCTCACAGATCATTTTATGCAAGGACATTTACCTAGAGAAGACCATTTAACTGAGAATAGAAGGATTACTATGTGAACGAAGAGGAATGAATAGGCCATTTTGGGTAGTACTTAGCCCCTCAATCCTTTTCTCCAAACTTCCTCTGAAAGACAACATGTCTGACGGTTGGTTTAAGGCCCTGACCTAGGAAGTCGCATAAAAAGCTCTTCTTAGCTAATCTAACCAACCTATTTGTGAAAGTTGGTCAAAGATCAAAATATGGACGTTTCTAAGACTAGTCATCCTTTTATCTGTTTTAGAAGCTCTATCTCGGTAATCTGAACCGTTTGTACAAATAAGATAAAAGAAAAGGTGTCTAATATAAAACCATCTCGGTAATAAGTGGCAGACTAAAGATTCCCAAGTCACATCCACATGTTCCCTCTATTCTCCCCAAGCAATCAGACATTTATTAAGCGTTTATTATGAGTCAGGTACTGAGTACACAGTATCTACACCCAAGTGATCAACTAACTGTATGAAAACATGCAGTAAATCTCCTTTCACACAAATTAAAACCAAACTATAACCACGCTGGGCTTCAGTAGCTAGGAACTGCAACGATCCCAAACATTCAATTACTAATCAATATCCTAATTCAATGTTTTCCTGATATTGAACTGGGGGCGAAGCTATTCTGGGTGTAGTTGTACTCGAGCGCGCCACCACCTCCACTTACTACAGCTGAGAGCCCAGGGACTGCGCTTCCCTAAAACAAAAACCAGACCAAGCGTCCAGGACCTTATTCAAGTTCTGCAAACCCTCCCGGTCTCCTTTCCTCAGGTTTCGTCTGAGTCCCAATAAGGGCTGGAGAGAGAGAACTGGACGCCTCCCCCCCGCAACTTACCCCTGTTCCTCAAAAGTTCTACACCGCACCCCGTTGAATAGCAGACCCTTGGCACTGCCGCCCCGAAAGAGCGCAGCTCGGGTTTCCTCTTCCTGCGAGGGCTCCCAAACGAGATTTATTGTTGCAAGAAAAGCACAATAACCCAGAAAAAGTGAAAAGTTTTCGCTGAAAAACTGGGAGTGGCTTTAAATACTTCAGCCTAAGAGAGCAGGCAGTAGGTTACATACACACACACACACACACACACACACACACACACACACACACTCTCTCTCTCTCTCTCTCTCTCTCTCTCTCTCTCTCTCTCTCTCTCTCTCTCTCTCTCTCTCTCTCTCTCTCTCTCTCTCTCTCTCTCTCTCTCTCGCTCTCTCTCTCCACTGCAGGGGGCCAAGTTAGCTCCCGGTGGAAGGGGGGGTTCCCGCTCCCCCGCCCTCCTCCTCCTCCCAGAGACTCTCCCGCCTTCCCCGCCCCTCTCCTTTTCAAGCCCCCAGCCTCTTCAGCAACTCCAATCCCCGACCCGGATCTTCTCCTCCGTGGAGTCTTAGTTCAGGACTGAAACCTGGGCGCCGAAGGCCACCCCCTCCTTTTATCCTCCGACAGAGCTCCCCCAGGGAAGCAGGTTCAGTCCTTCCAGCCCCCGAGAGGGAGAAGCGCATGGAAGATCCCTTCCCATCCCCTACTTACTGTCCCCGAGCCGGAGAGCGAGCTCACTAGCCTCCTGCGCACCTGACTCTGGCTCGTCCTGGATCCTCTTCACGCGAGCAGGCGGCGGGAGAATGGGCTTTGCTGCAGCCTCAGCCTCCTACTCCCCTCACCCTGCCCCCGGGCATGCGCAGCACCAGTTCCTAAACTGGGGTTCCCCCGGGCTGTAGCCCAGTCAGCCCCTTTCATCCACAGCGTAATTCTCACCTGCAACCCAGTCTTCTCCAGAAGCGCGCGAGGCTGCGGGGACCTTCGCTTGCTAATACTGCAAAAGGAAGAAGGAAGGGAAGGGAAGGGGAGGGGGCGAGAAAGAGCAGGTGTGGCGCTGCCGCCTCCCGTGACCCATTCACCTGAAACTCGGGGGAGGGGGGAAAAGGAGGAGAAGGAGGAGGCGGGCGGGGACAAACAGGTTGCTCTCTCTACACATCAGTTCAGAAAGCTTAAAGAGACAGGATTCAGTTTCACCAGGAGGAGTGGTGAATACCTTCTGGCTTTGCGCATTTAGGTGAGACTGGGTAGGTTGAGGAAGCGCCTTACCTAAGGTGAAGTTTTGTCGGGCTCTGGTCGGAGGCTTGGAGAGTTGTAGGTGTGATCGCCCACAACCCTAGTTTTCCTGGAAGGGTGTGACCCGCCAGAACTCTCCTGGGTCAAGCTTGGTATGCGCTTTGGTGGGAAAAGGGCTGCTCTCCCAAAACTTCCCCGAAGTATGGTCAGAGAATTGTTGGCAAAAAGAGAACTATTGAACTGGAGGCCAACTGTGTGAAAGTGACGCACCAAATGGTAGAAGAATTTTGAAGGGAGATTATTATTCTTAAAAATAAAGACGTGATCGTCGTGGTGACGTTCCCCTTTTCTGCCATTTACTGTACGACTTTAGGCAAGTCACTTCATCTATTTGTGACTCGGTTTAATAATCTCTAAGCTTGAACCAAATATTCTCAGGGTCTCTTTTTTAAGTCTGAAACCTTGTAGCGTTTGATATTACCTTCTACTGAATTGGAGGTGGAGGGTTGTGGGTACTCAAAATAAAAACGATTTAATTTGTCAAGTGATACAGTTGTTTTAAGGACTAGAAAAAAAAAGGTACGATCGTAGGCTATTGCTAATACAAAAGTGAACTAAGTCCTTCCTCCTATCTCCCCAGTTTTTGTTGATGACAACATATTTCTTCCTAGGCTGGAAACCTAGTAATTGATTGTTCCTTCCCCATGCAGTGACTAGTCAAGTGTTGTAGATTTCTACTTCCACGATGTCCTTCCCATCTGTCCTCTCTTTCGCACTCAGCTTCCACGATGCCTCAGGCCTCTCTTTACTGCTTCTAGACTTTCTGATAGCCTCCTGAACTCCTAGGATTTAGAACCGGAAGAGACCTTAGAAATCATCTACTGACCAACCAGCTCATTTTATATACATGAAGAAACAGTCCCAGAGTGACCTGCCCCATCCCACACAGGTAGTATAGAAAGGGAGCCAGAATTCGACCCTAAATCCAGGGAACTTTTTGCTGTATTTTTCTTTCCAGTTTTGGATGCTGCTTTCCTTCCTCATTCCTCCACCAAATCCTTCACTCTGCTATCAAATTTATCTTCTGATTAGAGGTCTGCTTTTGATATTCCCTTGGCTCAAAATTCTTCAGTAGCTTCCCTATTACCCATCCCTCTGTCTGGCTTTGAAGGCACTTTTCAGTCTGGCTGCAACCTACTCTTCCAACATTATTTCACTTACTCCCTATTCATACACTCTTGACTCTTTCCTGCAGTCTTTCACATCAATTTTTTCTTTAAATTTTTCCTTGCCCCACCTGGCCCCAATTCACTCTGACTTGCCATGTGCTTGTTGAAATATGGAGTGGAAAAACTTCAAGTCATAGGCCCAGAATTTAAATCCTCACACTGCAACTTACTATGTATGTGACCTTGGAAGTCACTTAACTTCTCTGGAGCTCAGGGTACTCATCTGTAAAATAAGGGGATTGGACTACCTGAAGTTGCTTTGATCAGGGCTCAACTAAGGTACCACCTTCTTTGCTCAAACCTCTCCCCAAATGAAAGTGATTTGTCTATCTGCCCTTTGCTCCTATTATAGTGTAGCTTATGTTATTCTTCTCCCTGTACATAATCATATCACTCCTACTAGATTATACACTTCTAAACAACAAGGACTAGGTTGTTTTTTGCATCTTTGTATCAGACCTCTTACTGTGATGGGCTCACTGGTTCATGCATCTGAAACAGTCTAAGAGAAAATGTCACTTAATAAATGTTTGTTGGATTTAATAAAGGCAGTGGAATTGCAGTGAATTACTTTAAGCCCACCTCCCTTCAAAAAAAGATTTGATGCATTTTGTTTGCATTACCAGTATTCACTGATGTAACTGAAAGGTCTGAGTCTTGTTTCGTTTTGGTTTGGTTTGGTTTGGTTTTTTTGCTAGGTAATTGGGGTTAAGTGACTTGCCCCGGGTCACACAGCTAGCCAGTGTCAAGTGTTTAGTCTGAGGCTGAATTTGAACTCAGATCCTTCTGACTTCAGGGACAGCACTCTAGCCACTGAGCCACCTAGCTGCCCCTGAGATCCTATTTCTTATCCTATATGACTTAGCATGTTCAGTAGCCCTTTCTGTGGGGGAAAAAAAAGCCAACAAAACTTAGTTCATTATAATTCTTGGTGTTTTGCCTGCTTACATTGAGTCTGGAACTTAAATTTCATAAATTGGGCTTCACTTCATGCTTCAAACTTTAAGGCTTGTATTGCCAATTATTGTCTCATCCTAATACCATCCAGAAGTATCCACACTTCAGGGCTTAGAGAGGAAGCTCTCTTCTGCTGTAAATCTTTATGGCATGTTGTGATCTTTCAGGAAGTACCACATTATATAAGATATGTATGAGGAACTTTAATGATGACAGTGTTACTGAGTAATTAATTTCATTGGAAATCTTTTGCATTAAAGTCATTACTGCAATTATATTTTTAATGCAGGTATGCATTTTTCCAGATAATGCAGGTTTAATTGTTATTATAAAGCTGGAAACTATCAAATTAATCCTTTAAATGGTAGCCTTAAGATTACCTTAATCATCTCCCAACATTCCACTCAGCTTGTATAATTAAGCAACTGTCTCAGATTTATCGCCTGTCTTTTAAAAATCTTGAACTTTAATATTGTAAATACATATGCTGCATAGAGAAGAACTTGAGGAACTAAATTGGTTTTTATAAACTTTATATCATTTTAGGAACAAAAGAATAGTTTGTTAATAGTTTGTTAATTAATTTAGCTCTTCTGCTAACATGTTCTAATAATATAATAATTAAACAGCCAAAACTGAATTGAATTATGTCAGCTTAGAGAGAGATCTCTAGAAAGATACCCACACACACACCCACACACCTGTCATTGTTCCTGTTGTTTTAAAATTTTTTATAAGTGACTTAGAAGTATAGGTATTAGATGACATCCTTATCAAACTTGGAAGGATGTTGGAAAATAGAATTACGATACAAAAATATGTTAGGCTAAGAATGAGAAACTGAATCTAATAAGATAAAATTTAATAGAGTTAAATATAAGGTCTTGTTTGGGTTCAAAAAATCAACCTCATAAAGAAGCTGTAGTTAAAAATACTTCATATGGGGGGCAGTTAGGTGGTGCAGTGGATAGAGCACCGGCCTTGAAATCAGGAGGACCTGAGTTCAAATCCGACTCAGACCAAACACTTCACACTTACTAGCTGTGTGACCCTGGGCAAGTCACTTAACCCCAATTACCTTAAAAAAAAAAAGAAAGAAAAAGAAAAGGAAAAATACTTCATATGAAAAAAAAATGGGCATGGAGAGATTAGCAGATTTGAAACTTAAATGCAATCAGCTATGTGCCAGCAGCCAAAAATATTAATTAGATCTAGGTTACATTTAAAAAGCACTGTTATCTGAGCCATAGAGGTAATAGTTGCTTCAGTATTTTTGGAGTGTTGTGTTCAATTCTGGGTACCATATTTTAAGAAGTATTTTAACAAGGAATAGCATGTACAGTGAAGTGCAACCAGCTTTCAAATGTACCAAAATACTCATAGTTGCACTTTTGTGGTAATATAGATGTGGAAATAAAGTAGATGCCCATCAATTGGAAATGGCTAAACAACTCATGTTACATGAATGTGGTGGAATATTTAGTATGGCACTGTAAGACATATGAATCCAAAGAAAACATGTAGGATAATAGATTTAGAGCTGGAAGAGCCCTTGGGGTCATCCAGGTCACCCTTCCTTTTACAGTTAAGGAAATTGAGTCACAGAGAGATGAAGTGACTTTTCCAGTGTAGTAAGTGACCAAGCCAGGATCTGAACCCAAGTTCTCGGACTCCAAATTAAATATTCCTTACACTGTGCGATCTGTATCTTATGATCTCAATGAAGTAAGAAGAACCAGAAAAACTATATATACAATGACTAAAACAGTGTAAATGAAATGAATGAAAATGTCAACTGAATATTCTATAATTGTAATGACCAAGCTTGGCCCTAGAGAAGAGTGGAAAAAAATATATATCTTCCCTTCTTTGTACAGGTGAGAGATACTTCATGTGGAATACTGTGTATATACATCAAGATGTTTGCTGTTTTTTGGTTTTGGTGAATTAGCCTCTTTTTTTCTTTTTTAAATTCTTTGATGCATGCAGTGGCTTACAAGAGAGGATCTAAGGATGTGTAATAAATAGAAAAATCAAAAGACATTAACAAAAATAATTTTAAAAATTTTAAGGCTTTTCTGTCAGTGAATCTCTTTGTAACTTTTTAATTGAGGAAAGCAGAAGATTCTCAGGGGAAAATAGAAATGTGTTAATAAGTAGTATTTTCCTCCACACTGTTATGGTGTAAAGTCAGGGAGATGAGAAAGAGGAACAGCTCCCCACTATCCCATCTCCCATTGTGAATAGAATGACTGGTAATTGCATCTCAGTTCATGCATATCTTTGGAAGTCACATATAATAATTAGTAGGGAGTCTTCCTGAAATTGTCACAATTTTGTGTACCTATATATGAGGAAGCCAGGAGGAAATAATTTCTAAGAAAAGGTGATGAAATGTGATGAATAAACTTAGTTATTCTTATTCCTGGGAGTAACCAGAAGTTCATGACATACAGTAAATGTATAAGGATTAGGATGCAAGTATAGCCTGTTTCCCATTCAACTCTGGATTCACATAGATTAGGGTTCAGTTCAAGACAGTAATTATATCATTTGGTTTTAGATAATTATAAATTTTTACCTGATTTCCTGAAAACATTTAGAGGTCATATAAATTCAGGTTACCTTTTATTAAAAGATCAGAAAT